AATATATTTTTGTTAGGAGCAGCACTCGAATTTTTTTAAATATAAAAAAAATAATATCCGCAGCCTTGTTTTTTTTATATTGTAATTAAAGTAGTATAATTATTCTAGCTTAAAAAATACTGGACAAACTAAATTTTTAAATTTACTTTTAAATTAAATTTTATAGAAATTGTTATAATATAACCTTACTCGTTGATTAGATCTAAAGAAAAAAATATATTCATCTTTGTTAACTACAAAACTAGCAAATTGAGTTATGAATTTTACTATGATGATCTAATTTTTTTATTTTATAATTTTATAAAAAATACAAAAATTAATGTACTATAAATTCAGTACTAAATAAGAAAATTAATTAAACACCACTCTCACGCATTAATTGTTGAGCTACAGAGCTAAACTATTGATCAAATGGTTTTAAAAAATTTATTAACTTTGTTTACTGTTGATACAGTACCCGATTATAATCTCTCTGGAAGCTGGCCTTGAGCCACCACGTGGATGGATCTAATAATTGGCACGTGATCCATGGATCTACTACAAGGAAAAACAAAATATCCTCACTGCGAAGAAAATCAGATGCTGTTAGAGAAAAAATTAATATTTAGGTAAGTATTGGGATTATATTCCTATGGTGGTTGCATATTACACAATATAACTAAATAAGCTAAAGTGTTTACTGCGCATGGAGTTTTTTCTTTTTTTCTGTGGTCATTGAACTTTATTTATTTACAGTTTTATCATTACAGGCTAAGTTACATGAGCATGTTTTTACAGGTTAGCCTTGATGATAGATACAAGAAAATATATAAAGTAAAAAAAAATTGATGTAAAAAAATTGTATTTTTATACGTTATTTACTTATTGCTATGAATATCAACGTTTTGTTTTAGTTTTTAATTAAAATCTGCATTTTTTTAATTTACCATTTAATAAAAAATTTAATTAATCGTATCAGATACATATATCATTTTTTCATTTTTTTGCTGACAAGTTTTATAATACCATAAAACATAATGATAATATGAAGACTATTTTCTATTATTTTAAAAATTAATTTAAATCCTGTGCGACACAAATACACTTCACTAGTTTGTATGCTCATATTATGCCATGAGGACCATAATTTTTTGAAACGTAAAAAAAAAAAATAGGTCTTAATTAATTATTTAACATTCCTATTAAATCCAGAAATATGACTATTCTAGAATTTTTTTCCATCAAGGTAATTTTTTTTAATAACATATGTCTTTTTTATCTTAGCAAATGCAACGTTTTTAATTAGAATTGTTCTTCCAGTTAAAAAAAAATGTTTATGATCATTAAAGCAAGTTAACAAAAAATATAAAAATAGTATCTTCATAATTTAAGTGTGGTTTAAAAATGAAAAAAAATATATGGTAAAATCATGTTTAAAATCCATATAAAAAATTGTTTTTTTTTAAAAAAAAAATCTGCATCAGTTATGTTGAAATTAAAGTGCCAGTGGTTATGTTGAATTTTTCATGGAGTGCCAAAAAAAAGGGCGTCTAGCCCAGTAACAACAAACATATTAACCCGTGCACCTTGCCATGCTTTAATTTTTTATTAGAAGGCGGGTGACATGTCATCCAAAATGAAATTATTACATGTCTCAGTGTCAAACCCCTGATCTCTTGCTTTAATTCTGTGTGCCAATTAACTACATTACGATATAAAGTTGTTATTAATTTGATGCTGAAATAAAATTGATTTTACAAGATAGAGTTTTAGAATATTTCTAAAATATTGAAAGATGAAGGACGAGTTTAAATAAAAATAGTATTCTTTCACTCAAAGTATGGCAAACTTCAATTTGGACCTCCAAGGTTTTCTTTTTTCTTTTTCAGTCCTTGATCTTTTAGTTATTCATAGTTTGACTCTAAATTTTATTTTTACTGCATTTCAATCCCTGGACTTTTATACATGCTAGAGAAAGTCATCATGGAATGGAGATGAGAGAGAAAATATTTGATAGATCATATTTTAATTATAAAAAGATAATCCCGGAGCAAATGAATTATTCTTTACAACGAGAGTTTAATATTGATGGTGTTTATGCATCAAAAAGTAGACAGAGCACATAAATATTTTTTATTTAATTTGATTTTTATTTTTTGAAATAATTTTAAAGTGTTCCATTGTTGTAAAATAACAGAACCAAAACTTGAACCTTGCTTTTTTTGTCACGAAGATAATTGGAAACAATAATGGTAGACAACGAATCTCCTATCAAGATAAACAGAGAGATCTGAGGTGGTGGCATAAGAAAAATATAAAGCAAAACCAAGCAAGTGGCCTCAGGCTTTTCTTCTTTTTTTTTCCTCTTAGGCTAGGTGGGTTCACCATAATGCCTAACTTTTATATATTTATTTTTGCAGGAATTAATATTTTAAAAGGGTTTTTAACAATTTCATAATACCATAAAAAAATTATTATAATCTATCTTTTATTTTTTTTACTTATGAAATCTTAAATAAATCACCCGTATCAGTATTGTGCATTTATAATAATACTACGAATCATATTTACTTAACAATTAAAATAAATCCTAGTGATAAATACAAGAAAATATATAAAATAAAAAGGATTGTTGATGTAAAATGTTTGTATTTTTACACGTTTCTTTTTACTTGTTGCCGTGAACATCAACTTTTTTGTTTTAGTTTCCAATTGACATTTGCAAAGAAAAAATAATTTACCATCTAGTATATTTTTTAATCAAATGCATCGGACGAATATATTGTTTTTTCCATTTTTTAGATGACAAAATTTATAGTACTATAAGCATATTGACAATATAAAAACTATTTCATATTACAATAAAAATTAATTTGAGTCTTGTTAGAGTACAACGGGATAGATTAGACTGGCTCGCATGCTGGTGCTAGACTATAGAGACTATAATTTTGCAAAACATGAAAATAAATTTAAAAATACAGTTAACATACTCATCCTAAATAAAAATATTATATGTCTCAACGTTCAAACTCATGATTTCCTGCTTCAATCTTGTGTACTAATTAGTTAAATTATGATAAAAAAAATTGTTATTACATGTATTAAACAAATAAATTAATTTGATTAGTATTTATACGAATAATAAATCACTATAAGCATTCTAAGCTTTTCTAGTTTAATAAGTTTAATATTTTAGGTTCATTTGAAGTGATTAAGATAACAGCACCAAAGGAATGGATAGAGGGTTTCATTGACCGTACTTAACTCAACGTGTCAATCCCTAAACCGTCGATTCAATCATCCTTGCGCCTCCATTCATCTTGTTTGCTTATTAACAGTCCAGTACAGCTCGAGGACGTCTCGCCCATTTGCCATTCTAGAAGCCTCTAGTCATACGCAATCATTCTCATCCTTTTGTGTTGCTTTTTTTTTTAAAAAAAAAAAAAAACGGGGGTTCCCTCTCTAGCATATCAATTAAAGATTGTATGCGTCTATTCATGAAATTTCAATTATTCTTGATTTGTTTTAAAAAAATATAAAAAATATTATTCATTAAAAAATCAAATAAGCGTTGTTTTGCATGTTGATATTTTTAAATATTTACAATAAATTAAATACTATGATTGATTAAGAATGTTAAATAATTATTAACATTTTTTTTTGAAAATATCCATTAAACGTACTATTTGCATAAATCTATTAACCGTCTTTAATTACACACACTAGCTTCTTGACAGCTACTTCAAACTTGTATTATTTAATCAATCTATATCATTTTTTTCTATTTTCTAATAGATTGTTAAAGATTTATAAATGAATAAAACTTCAATGTTTATTAGAAAGACATATTTTATTTTTAAATAATTTCATAAAACCTTGATAATTCTAATTAAATTAATGTATTTAAATATTTTTTGACTTGAGTAAATTAATATTAGAAACATAATTTGAATTATCTCTCAGAAATTAATAATTAATAGTTAGGTTAAATATATACAATCCTTAAAAATAAAAATTACAAAAAAAAAATTCCCTTGACATTATATTACAACGAACCTTGTTTATTTCAAATATTTATTTTTGTTCATGTAAAATTGAATATAAATTACCAATAAATACATGAATAAAAATATTAAATAATTAAGTAGTAAGAAAATATTGATTTTTTAATACTATTAGCAGTTGTCCGGGAAACCAGAAGCAATGTATAGAAAAACTGACTAAGAATTCAATTTAACAATTTGATGTAATTCAACTATTTTCAATTTTTTTTATACTTCATGTTTCTTATTAGATTATTTCTGAGCATTTTTAAAGTTATCATAATAAAATTAAAGTATCAATGCAGCACTTTACAGTTACCTATTTATCAATTGATTTCTTTATTTATTGATAGAATAATAGAGGGAGGAATTAATAATCTTTTTAGTATTCAAGTCTATGAAAAACTAATTTTGGTGGCTTAAAATGACTTATATCAAAGAGAAAGAGAGTTAGAAAGGGAGATGATATGTGTTTTTTTCCTTTTATTTTATCTCATGTGCAACTCTTATAGTATCTCCCAGCTATAATATTAAAATTAATATTTTCAAATAATCTGGGAGTTAAAGCAAAATACATGTCGATTTTCCTCACTTGCAAAAAAAAAAAAGGGACTCTTATTCCTCTAATTTTAAATTGTTAGAAAATAGAATTATAGTTTTTGCTATAATTCGTCGAAGGCATTTTAATTGTATTGCTTTTATATTTAATATTAATAAGATAAGAGTACAAGTTTGTAAGAGATTATATATATTGTGACAGCTGCAACGATTCGTTTTTTCTTTTTTTTAAATTAGCTTTCGCCACGAAGTTGGTATTTTAGCGAGAAGCTAGGATTAATTAATTTCCCAGGACGCCGGCTTTTGAAAAATACGTCTTTGACAAAATTGACAAAACGAAAGACGTCTTTTGAAGACCCCACCCATTTGCGGGGTCAATTATGATTCGAGACTTTAACTCTTTATCTCTCCTATAAAAGGCCGCATCAATGAAGTAACGACACCTCACCTATTTGTCTAGAGCTCCAAACCCCAAAGACAATATCCCTCTAGCAAAAGAAAGCTGCAGGAAATGGCAGAAAACCACCCGCCTAATCTCGGTTTCAAAGGAGACAGGTTACTCTAGATCCTATTGCCTTTAATTTTTTTTCATCAAGTTCACAACGATTCAAATTAAATTCCGTTTTCCCTTTATTTCACCGTCTTCAATTCTTGTGTTTAAGTAATTTTAATTTTGTTATGATGACAGCATCGAAGCGCAGCATGCCATTTTTGCCCTGCTCGCGGACATGTTAAGCAACCACATCCAAGTGAAATACCAGTCAATGCCAGTTTCTCCATTTGACACCCAAATGGGGGTCATGTCAGCAGTTTTTGATGCTCTGTTTATATACGCCACAACATCAGTTGCCGAGGTTATACTCCGAACGCAGAAATCATTCCACCAGAGACTTGTCGGCAATATTCGCCTCTATGCTAGCGCCCTTGCTACAATTCTGTTTCTGGTGATTCTTTTCCTGATTGTGTCCTGCATAATTCTGTCCTGTGGACCTGTTTGTGAAGTTAGCACATGAATCATGTCAGGATCTATGCCAATTGCTAAGCCAAACCACTGATGAGGTACTGGACATGTTGAAAAAGCTAATTGCAATTGCAAGGAGTCCCAAAGAGAAACCAAACCAGCCGAATGTGGAGGTCCTTACAGGTCCCGAGACAGATTAGGACGGTGTTAAGTCATTGACTTGTTGCTCCTAGCCGCTTTTTGTAATTTATATTGTGAATATATATTGTTTTCTTAACGCGTAAGAGAATTAGATGAAGGATGGGATGCCCTTGGCATGTGAAAATTGAAAGCTATGACACACTTTTTATGGGCCTTTTCTTCTTTTTGTTTGCCAGACTTGCAAAGTTATCTGAGCTAGATTTATTTGGTGGTCGGCAAGCTCACGGAGGGGCTAAATAGGATGGAGTTTGTGCTTAGACCACCAGTTGAAGGCATTCCTCACCCAATGTATGGTAGTGGCTCGCGTGACGATAATAAGATATACTTATCTTTATGGACTGGGCTGTCATTTTGATTTTGTTAAGCTTCTTCTATACTGCAAACAAAAAAAATCTTCAGAAAATATAAAAGGAACCCCATCGAAAATAAAAGGTCTAATTTAAACTATTAGTTCGTTGCATAGGCCATGGAGTTCCAGTTAGACAAAACATTCCTCGCGGAAACAATTTGGTCCGATCTACTGTTTGACAACAGACCAGTCTCGTAATAAATTTTTAGTTATCATTATTATTTTTTTCCTAGGTCATGCACACAATTAAAACTGAGTAGAATGGTGCAGGGCAATTACCGAATCATCTTCTTCCTTTTCTTTTCCTTTCCTGTATACCGTATATTACAGTCTATATTTTTTTTTATAACTACCCTCTCTCCTTTCTCTGCTATCACCATCGTCATTTATATCAAAGAGACTTCATTTGATCAAAATCGCACCTGTTGTTTCCCATGGTAATTAACAAAACTAAGTGTTGGATTAAAATTCTCATAATGTTTTTGCATGTAATCACTGATCAGCTCAAGTGCTGAAAGTTAGAAATAAGGTGTACATTGCACTAATGATAGTTAATTAATCAATTAAATAATTTAGTTAAATAAACATATAGACCATCTGAGAATGCGATATTCCTAGAAAAAACTTAGAAGCAGCAAGATTTTTTATGCTTTTTATATTTGGAGAAGCGGGTTGTACCACGTTATGCAAGTGCCGAGAATATTTCTTTTAAATGATTATCCGAAGTCTAATCAAATTAATAAGAATTGATTAAAAAATAAATATTTCTTTTAAGTTGTTATAGTCATTAACATTGGCAAAAGGCCAATAAAAAACATGTAAGAAAAAATTAAAAATAAGCCTAACTCGGAATATGATCCAAATTAAACTACCGAATCAAATGAGTTTAATAACTTTATCCTGTATTTCACTAAAAAAAATTTATCCTGTAATGTTTCGGAAAGTAATTCCACGGGTCGACCGATGGTGGATCTTTGATTCAAGATGGGCTTTTAGGGGCCAAGACATTTGCTGGATGTCTTATCCAAAATGGGGAGGTGCAGCTTGCGGCCCATTCTCTCACTAGGTTTTGATCGCTATTAGACAGCAGAGAGCACTGGATTTTGAAAATCTTACCGGGTCCACGTGGCAGATACCAAGCCCTTGATGCCTTAAACGGATTCCCACCTTTCTATCATGCGTGGATAATTAAATAGTGAAGTCAACGGAGCATCGACTTTGAAACGTGGTGATGTCAAGCTGGGGAGTATTCGTCTTTGACTATAAACAGTGAAGTTGCGGACGTCTCACGCGTTTTCTATCTTTTTTTCCCCGGCACCAGTAATACAAAGACATCTGTTTGGCACTGCACCCATGTCTCCTGCACACCCTCTCAGCCCCCCTCCCTCTCTCTCTCTCTCTCTCTATATATATATATATATATATGTATGTATATGTAAGATTTTTTTGAATAAATCGAGCGTTAGTGAATAAATTTTAAATAAAAATAATATTATTTTAATTTATTTAAAAATTAAATTAAATTATAATCTAACCAATCCAATCACAAATTGACTAAACAGTTTTAATTTTTTTTTTAAATAGTAAAATAAGATTTAATAAATATTCTTATATATCACATTGAATTAAAATTAATATTCATATATAAAAAAGTTTGTTCGAAAAAATAAATTTTAACTTCAGGTATGATTTTATAATAATGTTTTTGAGAAAAATTAATCAATATCCACTCTGAATATGACCCTTGTTTTCAGTAAACTTCATTATCATTATATAAATACACAAAAAATAGTAGATTTGCGTTGTTATTTTACTATTAATTGTTAATTATTTTACTATTCCAGTAAACAAATGCAAGAAAAATAACACGTTAACATATTTATTTAATGAATGGGTATATCAAACATGCGTCATGGTCAAACTCAAGATTAAAATTAAGTGGTTTGTTTTACAGTGTTAAATTAAGGGTTGAAAAGTTATAAATAAAAAAGAAAAAAAAAAACGAGAGGTTTGATGTTGGATGAATCATGGTAAGCAATCCGTACTACCTGTGAATATACAAAAAAGAGTCATTATGTGAATAATCATACTTAAGTGACTCATTATGAACCGCAGATAATCTTACTTTTAATGTTAAATACTAGACTCTTTGATTACTGAACGCAATGAGTTTAATAACTTATATTATAATTCCACGGGTCGACCGATGGGCTTCTAGGGACCGAGACATTTGGTGAATGTCTTGTCCAAGATGGGGAGGTGCAACTTGCGACCCCTGCTCTCACTGGTTTCTTCGATCGCCGTAGGGCAATAGCAGTACTGAAGTTAGAATTTTTTAAATGAAAAGATAAATTATTAATAAATATTATATTATGTAGATATATATTAAAAATCAATTCAAAAAATATATAGTAATTTATATCAAATAAAATTAATTTAAAAATACTATAAAATAAAAAAATTTATATTATAATTATTATTTTCGAGTTTTTATATTTTAAAATCACTTCATAAAACTTACATATATACACGCACACACATATATATGCATATAATAAATATTAATATTAATTAAATTATATTTAATTATTTATAAATATTTAATTGAATAAATAATGTCTGTAAGAAAAACAATGCTTGAAAAACATATTTTCTACTTGATATTTTAATTATAAATAAATCACATGAAAATAATAAATTTTAATAAATTAATTTACTAATGCAAGAGATGTCAAGATAATAATAATTTTGTATGAATATTAATTTATTTATTTATAATAAAAAATATTTAATTTATTAAATTAATAAATTTTAATATTTATTTTAAATATATTCCTATCAAAACTTTTAAATTATCATAAATTCTAATATTTTTAATAATTAATTAAAAAATTTTAAAATTTTAAAAAGTTTATTTCAAATATAAAGTAAAAGGTTAAAAAAATTAATTACTTATGTATATTGAAGAAAGCCAGGCAAACGAGCTGGACATATATAACGGAGAGAGAAAGAGAAATTTGTATAATTAGGGTAAGAAAAAAAATGAGCTGCAATAACAACTTTTCAGAGTGTGTTTGGTGTTGTGGTAGATATTGTGGTTGTGGTTTGAAAAAAAATATTTTAAAACAAATATTTTTAGTTGAGGTTGGTTTGAAAAAATAGATGTTTGGTTAAAATTGTGGTTGGAATTGAAGTTAAAGAAAAAATAATTTAATGTATTTGGTTAAAAAAACTTTTGAAATTGAAGTTATAAAATAATTTTTAAAAATATATATTAATATTGATGATTTTAAATTTAACTATTATAGAATTAATTACTCCTATTATATCATGAAATAAATAATACTTTATATAAAATATTTTTTTTATTTTATTAAACTATTTATAATTACATTACATATAAAATTTATTCGATAAGAATTACAGTTTTCATAATTTTTTAAGCATGTAACAAAATTAGATAAAGTATGAACAATGTAATTATTATGTACAGTGAATGAAAAGCAGTATTTATCTTCTTTTTATTAATTATGTTTTAAATATAAAAATTATATGGAAACATGTACAATAAATTGATTTTTTTTTTTTACGAAATAACTAAAAAAACGCAGCCGCGTAAATGGCACCTCAATATCAACCCTTCACTGCATTACTATAATAATATTTTAATATCAAAATATAAAAAAAAAATTAAACAGTGAAACGTGGTGATGTGAAGTTGGCGAGTATTCGTCTTTGACTATATAAACAGTGCAGTGCAGTACGTCCTTGCGCTCGTATCCAAGAGGACGTCTCAACCGTTTCTCTATCTTTTTCTTTGACTATATAAACAGTGGCAGTACGTCGGTGTACTCGTATCCAAGAAAACGTCTCAATAGTTTTTCTACCTTCTTTTTTCCCCCGCACCAGTAAAAACTCGTACAAAGACATCTGCTTGGTACTCCACCCAACATCTGCTTGCTACTCCACCCATGTCTCCTGCACCCCCCCGGATCTCCCTCCCTCCCTCCCTCCCTCTCTCTCTCTCTCTCTCTCTATATATATATATATATATAGACACACACACACACTTATATATATATATATATATGAGATTTCTTTTTTTGAATAAATCCATTTTAATGAATATTTTTTAAAAAAATTTAAATTAAATTAAATTTTAATATAACTAATAGGTGACTAGACAACTTCAAGTTAGTTTTTTAAACCCATGAAATAAGTATTTTTATATATCACTTTGAATTAAAATTAATATTCATTTATGATTTAAAAATAAGTATGTTCCAAGAAAAATTTAACTTTAGGTATTATTTAATAAGTTTTTTATTCATCAGGCACATGAGCCTAGCAATCTAGACTTATGGGCACCTATCTTTTTTAGCATCTTTTCTTTTTTAAAAAATAAAATTTATTAAAATAGAATTCTCTTTAATTATATAATTATGATGATATTTTAAAAATCACTATATTACATTATATTTTTTAATAAAATATATTTATGTTTTTTATAATTATATATGAAACTGCTATGCATGATATATTTAAACAAAGCACCCGAATATTCAATGAGAATAAGATATATATTTTATTGTTTTTTCACTTTCAATTCTTTATGTTGCTTTTTTTTTTTCATATAATTCAGAGATTATGATGGATTTTTATATAAAAAATATTTCTAATAATTTATTTTCTCAAAATAAAAATAAATAAATGAATAAAGAAGAGAAAGGACTGGCTAAATAAACAATTTTTTCAACCTGAGTTTAAATAATTTAAATCACTATAATTTTTTATTTTAAAACTTTTAATTGTTTAATTCAAAAAATCATGTTGTTTATAAAAAACATTTCATATAAAAATAAAAAAGCATAAAGAAAAATAAATAATTTTAACTAAAAAAATACATATTTTTCTTTAAAAATTAAATTATTTGAAATTCTTTTAAGTAATTTTGTAATTCTGTGAAATTAAATATTAGTTGGTTTTATAAAATGCCCAATGTCGGTTGAAAATTAAAACCCAAGTGAATTTGTAATCGTTCTTGTCATCCTGTCAAGTTTGGTTAGGAGTGCCTTTTTTTTTAACAAGTAGACGCATAGTTTTGAAAACTGGTTGGTCTGTTGGTCGATCAAAACTGGTATCAGGTTGATTTAAAAAAAATAAAACTTGAGGTGACTAGACAAGTTAATTTAATAAAATATGGTAAAAATTTTAATTTTGACATATTAATTTTAATTTTTTATTAAAAAATATTATTTTAATTTAAAAAAATAATGTTGATAATTTGATACTCGATGAAAACCTAAAATTCAGTTCAGGTTTAAAAAGTACGAGTAGACGAGGTTAATATTTTAGCGAACGCTAGGATTATTTAATTTTTATTTAGCTCAAGACGGGGTTTCGAAAATACGTCCTGAAGACGTCTCGAGGACCCCACTAGACTTTAATTTTCCTGGACAAGGAACCTCCAGCTGTGATTCGCCGATTATTATAAAAAAGAAGCCTTGCCCCTCTTCGCCCATCTTTGAACTCGACAGCATCTCTGTAGCAAAAGAAAGAAGAAGAAAATGGCTGCAAACCAGGTGCCAAATCTTGGATTCGAGAGAGACAGGTTATTATAAATCTCTTTGCTTAGTTCTTCATCTTTTTTACTTTTACTTGATTATTAAATGAAGTTAGTACTAATTTCCTTTTCTTATCAATTAACTTCCTCAACAATAGAACAAAAGTTATATATACACACTGTTTTGTAAGATGACCTTCCTGAAGCAATTTTAACTTTGTTAATGGTGACAGCATCGCTGTGCATCATGGAGTCTTCGCTCTGCTCGTGGACACATTAAATAAACAAATCCAAGTGAAATACCAATCCATGCCTACTTCTCCATACGATACTCACAAGTGGGTCATGTCAGCATTTTTGGCGGCTCTGTTTATATACGCCACAGCATCGGTGGCCGAGGCGATACCGCGGAGCCAGGAATCAGTTTACCAGAGGCTTGCCGGCAACATCCGCTACTTTGCCAGCGCCCTTGCTACAGTTTTCCTTCTGGTGCTTGCTTGGGGGTAGTGTATCATTTCTGTAAATATGCTCGGCTTAGTGTTGGGAAAGCTATTTGAAGGTGAGAGGAGCCGTAAAGAGGACCCAGGCAGGTCAGCAGAAAGTGTAGCATTGTATTGAATGATTGCCTTCGATTCACTTGCTTCCGCCCACCCGTTCTCTTCACATGTATTGTTAGATTGTCAAGATATGTTGTATTTGTTGTTGTACAAGAGAATTGAATAGAGAAGAGGTCACTTTTCTGTGATTCTTTTTGCATATATGGGAATTGCAAATGCAGAGGAGCCGTAAGAAGTTCATATAAGTTTATTTTTTTTAAAAAATAAACTATCAATAATTTTATTCTAATCTTTTAAAACTAATAAGTTTTACTTAATATTTTATCATTTTCAAAAAATCATTTTTTAACTGTGCGACACATATGGGCACTTCATATACTTAAAAAAATAAGCCATTAATTGATTTTTTTATCCTTATTAAAAAACACTGTAATAATAATTTTTTATAGTATCATATTTCTCCACTCTTGAAATAGTTTATGGCTATAATATTTTTTATATTATCATTATTTTTTAATCTTGATTATATCAAAATCAAATTATGATAGTAAAAAAGAGAAAAGTATTCTCCATATTTACAAATCATATTTTTTTAAAATATAAAATTTAATGTTCTCCAGCATAATTAACGTGTGTCTTGGAAATCTTTTTAAGAATCATAACAATTAACAAGAATAAATCTGGACGATTACAAATCTTTAATTTAAAAAAGTCTAAAAAAAAGATTACGTAACAAAACTTATTATAAAGTATTTTTTTAATAAAAAAGATAAATGACAAAATTTTAAATGTATTTTTGGGATGGATGGAATGATACTACCTAGTACTTACCAAATCTTCTCACGTCTTGGTTTTTTTGACTTTTTCGCATAGGTCTTGGAGTGGGATGGAGCGGGGTGCAGGACGTTTAGCTGGAGACGTCTCGCCCGTTTGCTTTCTTAGTTGTTTTAAAGAGAAAAAAACCTTGCCGTTCTCGAAGTCTCCCGTCATATGCAATCATTTTCATCTTTTTGTGTTGCTTTAAAAACATAATCCTTCTTCAGCATTTCCATTACAGATTGTACGCGTTTATTTACGAAATTTCATTTATTCTTGATCTGTGTTAAAAAAATATAAGAAATATTATTCCTTAAAAATATAAAATAAGCGCTGTTTTGCATGTTGATATTTTTAATATTTAGAATAAATTAAAAGAAATACTATAATTGATTAAAAATGTTAAATGATTATTAACAGGTTTTTTGAAAACATCCATTAATCATAATATTAGCATAAATCTACTAACCGTCTTTAATTACGCACACTAGTTTCTTGACAGGTACTTTAAACTTGTATTATTTAATTAATCTATATTTTTTTTTATCTATTTTCTAATATACTGTTGAACATTTATAAATGAACAAGACTTCAATGTTTATGAAATAAACATTTGTTATTTTTAAATAATTTCATAAAATCTTCATAATTATAATTAAATTAATCTCTTTAAAATCTCAATCATGTAAAATATTTTTCGCCCTGGTCTTGGAGTGGAATGACAAAGCCTTCAAAGTATTGTAACCAAAACATGTCACAAGCTGACTGTTTACATAAACACATTTCTTCAGACGAACCTTCTTATTGTTCTTGTAATTCTGTGTTCGAAGACTTTGATGGAGCTGCTAATATTTTGATGAATGGAGACGTTTTTTGAAGACGTTTTTTGACTTGGGGACATTTTATTGGTTATCCAAGCTCTCCAAGAAAGGCCCCACACAAAGTCCCACCAGTCAAAAAATACTGAAAAGGCCAGCCAGAACCTCCCTGTCCTCCTCAACGTGTATAAAATGCCCTCCCCGCTAAAAACTTGAAACCCATTCGAGCTTCAGTATCTGTGTAAAGTTTAACATAGCAGAATGGCTGAGCACCTTGGGGCAAATCCTGCTTTCGAAAAAGAAAGGTCAGTCTAAAATAAATTTCTAGGTTTTGTTTCCTTTCCTGTTTTTTTCCTAAGCCCATCACTCTCTCTTTCCTGGATTAATGCTTCCTTTACTTCAATATTTTCTTTTTTACTGTTGAAGCTTCACTCAGGGGATTAGCCACTTAAATTTTCCTTAATTTTTGCGTACGAAGTGATTTTGATTTTTGTTGTGATGGCAGCATTATTATGCAACATGGAGTATTTGCCCTCCTGATTGGGACGCTAAACAATCAAATCCAAATGAATAAACAATCAAACCCATTTGACAGCCGCGACGTTGTTATGCCAGTTTTCCTCGTAACTCTGTTTATATATGCAACGGCCTCGGTGGCCGAAGTCATGCTCCGTGCTCGAGAATCAACTTACTACACACTGGCTGGCAAGCTCCGACTCTTTGCCAGTGCCCTTGCTGCAATATTGCTTCTAGCAATTCTTGCTCCAGTTCTGGGGTGCATTATTTCAGTCGTCTGGGCCTGTATATTTATGGGAGTCGCATATGAATCAAGGCAAGAGTTGTACAACATTTTAAGCCAGATAACTAATAAGTTACTTGACATGTTGACCAGGATAAATGCACGCGTGAGGAGCCGCAAGGAGGAGCCAAATCAGCTACGTGTCTAGGTCACTACATGTCCTTAGAATTTATGGAGTAATTGGCACGGGAAAATACTTGTTTGGGACTATTTCCTGTTGTTCACTTCCTCCCAGCCCCTTTTTTTTTTACTTTTTGTAAAAAAAAGCATTGCCTGTTTGAAGAGGAAGATTTGATAAGATATTGATTACGAGGGATTTACTTGGCATGTAAAAAATGTAATGAAGTTAGAATTTTTTTAAGGTTTGTGTCTTCAAGCTTGGTTAGGGGCTAAATACAGATTCGGTTAAAATATTCTTCACCCAGCACGGTACACGTCAGAACATTTAGTTTATCTAACACGCTTTTGTAAGAGGCTGTGCTCAATTTTATTTTATTTTATGTAAAAAGATAATATTTGAAGCATTAAAAAAATTGTGTGATTGTAATTAAAATCGGTATAACAGTTTAAATTTAAAAATTCTCAGTCATGCTATTTTTTATATAAACTTTTATATTAAATTCTATAAAAAATGTTCCAATACAACCTTATTTATTGGTTAGATCCGTAAAATAAAAAACAAATTTAATTCACACCCAATTAATAAAAAAAATCAAAAAATCAATGAAAAATAAAAAACAAAAAAGCCCATTCTTGCATGAGCTAGGTTGGGCCTATTTAAAAGAGTTAGACGAGTTGACAACAGATAAGCCACTTGTCATTTAGGACAACATTGTGCCCCCAAAGTTTCAAACTCATATTCTCAACATTACTCCCATGATTTAAAAAGTATATTAACTTTGATTACTGTTGATACAGTAACCGATTATAATCTCTTTGGAAGCTAGACTTGAGCCGCCACGTGGACGAGTCTAACACTTGGCACGTCATCCGTGGATATACTACAAGGAAAAACAAAATACCCTCACCACGAAGAAAATCGGATGCAGTTAGAGAAGAAATTAATATTTAGGTAAGTATTGGGATTATATTCGTATGGTGGTTGAATATGAAATATTGGCAAATTACAAAATATAACTAAATAAGCTGGTTGTTGTTTACTGTGCACCCATACTTATTTCACAGCTCACTCTTATATTCATGGACTCTCTTTTTTTTAAATCATTTAAGTTTTTTATTTTATTTTGATTATTAAACTTTATTTATTTATAATTTCATCATTAATTAATATTCTAAATGACATGGGGTAAATATTGTAGTTTCCCCTGCCACATGCTTTTTCTTTTTTCTTTTGTTTGTTCTTTTTTGTTTTTATATTTTTAAATTATTTTTGTTAATTTTTTTAATATTAAACTGATTAAAAATTTAGTTCTATAATTTAAAAAAAAAACTTTGTGAAGTACTATATTATTTTCCTACATAATTTTTTTTTGTAAAATAATCTTTATCGATTTTATTTTTATCATATAGAGCTGATTGGAAAGTTTGCTTCGTTGTTTTTTTCTTTAAAATATTGTGAATTATTACAATGTTTCCCTACATGATTTTTGTTTTGAAAGTTTACTTTGTAGTTTTTTTTCTCTAACACATTGTGGATTGTTATAATGTTTCCCTACATGATTTTTGTTTTACTATAATATTTCCCTATAGATTTTTTAAAAAATTATCTTTGTCAATTTTATTTTTTAAATATTGAGCTGATTGAAATTTTAGTTTTAACTTTCTCCACGTGTTTTTTTTATTTATTTTTTTTGCTTCTTTTTTCCAAAATTGTCTTCTTATTTCATTTTTTTTGTGTTTTTTTTCAATAATTGTTTTTGTTAATTTTTTTTTAATATGAAGGTGATTAAAAATTTAGTTCTATAGTTTTTTTCTTTGAAAACACTATGGATTGCTATAATGTTTTTTCATGAGGTTTGTTTTTCTTTTTTTATGATTTTTTTTATTTTTCCAGAATTGTCTTTGTCGATTTTATTCTTTTTATATTGAATTGATTGAGAATTCAATTTCGTAGTTTTTTTCTTAAAAATATTATGGATTGCTGCAGTGTTTCCTCACATGATTTTTTTAAAATTATCTTTATTAATTTTATTGTTTTTAATATTGAGCTGGGTGAGAATTACAACTGTAAATTTTCTTATGAAACACAATAAATTGCTATAGTGTTTCCCTACATGGTTTTTTTCCTTTTGTTTTTGTTAATTTTATTTTTTTTATATTGAGCTAGTTGAAAATTTAATTTCATAGTTTTTTTCTTTAAAACACTATGGATTGCTACAATATTTCTCCATGTATTTTTTTATGATTTTTTCCAAAATTTTCTTTGTTCATTTTATTTTTTAAATATTAAACTGATAAAAAATTTAGTTTTGTAATTTTTTTCCTTAAAAACATTGTGGATTGTAACAGTTTTTCTCTGTATAATTACTGTTATATAATTTTTTAACAAACTCATATTAACACACAAGCATACCACAAGCCTGCAGCATTGCACAGACATAGTATCTAGTACTAGTATATTGCTCGTGGATCTAGCATGTACCAGACTGAAGTGATTTGGACCTGAAAAACATGTCGTGTTCAATTGACTTGAGTCTAAACATCATGTTATGCTCATTTTTCTTAGGTATTGTTGCCAAGCTCATGGTTCTAGGACTTTTTATTATTTCTAAATCCAAGTAGCTCAGATCTAACATGTTTGCAGGACCTAAGATGCTTGAGTCTCATAATTCATGTTAGACCTAAGCAAATAACAAATGAATAGAGTATAATTGTGATTTTTAGTTGTTAGAAGAAAAAAAAAACAAACAATCGATCATCGATGGTAATCTAATCATGATATATCTACACACACTGCACCATATAAAAAAGACACGTCTACATATTTAGTTATACGATGGATAACCAAATTTGATTACCAAAAAGTATCTCATGCTCCTTTTTAATAGCACGGGCGCTACTTACTTATTGAGGCATGTGTAATACACATCAATAACTTCTCGATTAAAAATAAAAATTACAATGTAAATATACTAAAATACCCCCATAATTCTTTTAATTACATAATATACCCTCGTTATGAACTAAGTTACGTGGACATGTTTTTATGTGGTGATATGATTTTTTATTTACATGCTCTAATTGATCCAATATATCATGTATTATTTTAATGTTGAAATAAAAATTAATTTTACAATGAGATAGAATTTTAGATTGTTGCTAAAAAATCAAAAGATAAAAAACCGAAATTGAAATAAAAATAGTCTAATTTCATTTAAAGCATGGCAAGCTACAATTTGGCCCTCCAAGTTTTGCTTTTGAAATTTCAATCCTTGTTCATTTTATTATTTATACCTTGATTCGAAACTTTATTTTTATTGAATTTTAATTTTTGAATTTTCATAGATGTAATAAAAAGTCATTTTGAAATGAAGACATAAAAAAATTTGATCAACTATATTTTGATTATAAAAATAATAATTTTGTTATTAATGTATTTTTTTATTACGAGAGTTTATTATGTATGGTGTTTATATATTAAAAATAGATTTGAATATATAAATATTTTTTATATGATTTTAGGATATTTTATTATTAAAAATCAAGGGGCTTGAAACTTGAACTTTGTGTTTTTTATTATCAAATCAGTAATATATATAAAAAAAACCAAGCAAATGGCAACAACTTCTTCTGTTTTTTCCTCTCTCCTAGGCTAGGTGCGTTCCAGAACAACAATGCCTAGCTTTGTTTTACTTGATTTGATATTTGATCTTATTTTTTTAACTATTATCTTCTCCATTGTTTCCTTTGAATTGTTTTGTTTAATTATTATTTTTTCAGTAATTGGTCTTTTATAAAGGGTTTTTAAAATTTCATAATACCAAAAACAAATTACTATAATTTATCTTTCAATTTATTTTCTTATGAAATTTTAAATAAATTACTTGTGTTTTTATTATGCATTTATAATATTGAGAATCATATATCTTTTAATATTGAGAATCAATTGCATCGGACACATATATTGTTTTTCCATTCTTTAGATAACAAATGTTACAATATTATAAAACATATTGACAATATAAAGACTATTTTCTATCATATTAAATATTGATTTGAATTATATTACAGTGTAATGCGTGTAGATTAGACTGGTTTGTATATTCACGCTACATGCTATACATGCTATAAAGATCATAATTTTTTTAAACATAAAAAAATATTTAAGTTTTAAATATTAAATAAACTATTAACCCACCAGTCGAGTGGATGGAGGGTGTCATTGGCCCACTATCCCGGCATGTTTGAATTGACTATTAAGACCTTACAGAACTCAACGTGTCAATCCCTAAACCGTCGATTCAATCAGCCTTTCACCCCCATTCATTTTGTTTGCCTATTAACAATTCAATTCAGCTCGAGGACGTCTCGCCCGTTTGCCATTCCAGAAGTCTCCAATCATAAGCAATCATTTTCATATCCATTAAAGATTGTAAGCGTCTATTTATGAAATTTCATTTATTCTTAATTTGTGTTAAAAAAACATACAAAAAATATTATTCATTAAAAATATAAAATAAGCGCTGTTTTGCATGTTGATATTTAAAAATATTTACAATAAATTAAAAAATACTATGATTGATTAAGAATGTTAAATGACTATTAACAGGTTTTTTGAAAACATCCATTGATCGTACTATTAGCATAAATCTATTAAGTGTCTTTAATTTTACACACCACTAGTTTATTGACAGGCACTTCAAACTTGTATTATTTGATTAATCTATATTTTTTTTTCTTTCTATTTTCTAATAGATTGTTAAAGATTTATAAATGAATGAAACTTTAATGCTTATTAAATAAACATATTTTATTTTTAAATAATTTCATAAAACCTTGATAATTAGAATTAGATTAATCTATTTAAAACCTGAATCATATAAAATATTTCTTAACTTGAGTAAATTAATATTACAAACGTAAATTGAATTATCACTCAGAAATTAATAATTAATAGTTAGGTTAAATATATATAATCATTAAAAATAAAAAATTACTTAACAATTTTCCCTTGACATTATATCACTACGAACCATGTTTATTTTATTCTTTTTAGTCGTGTAAAACTGAATATAAATTAGTATTGAATACACGAATAAAAATCTTAATTAATCAAGTATTAAGAAAACATTGATTTTTTATACTTTCAGTATTTGTCCAGAAAACCAGAAGCAATGTATAAAAAAATTAACTAAGAATTCAATTTAACAATTTGATGTAATTTAACTATTTTCAAATTTTTATACTTCATCTTTCTTATTAGATTATTTCTAGGCCTTTTTAAAGTTATCATAATAAAATTAAAGTATCGATGTAGCACTGTACAGTTTAAGAATAATGTATTTTATGTTATTTAGAATTTTACATGGTATAGATCTAATATAAAGCAACATAATTAACCTATGTTTTAGGATTCATTAAAAAAAAAAAATCCTACTGCTCGGGAATCAATAATGTTTTAAAATAATAGCAGCAATATTGATAGGTTTATTAATAAGAGACTGGATAGAATTTAGTTATTAATGAGTACTGGAGAAGTACTGCAATGTTAATTCTACTATTTTATTTATTGATAGAATAACAGTGGGAAAACTTGATAATTTTTTAGTATTCCAGTCTAAAAAACCTAATTCTAGTGGCTTAAAATTAAAATTAGAGGTAATTATTTCAATTGGATTCAATTTTATAAAAAGAAAAATCAAATCAAAATTAAAAAAATAAAATTGGTTCAAACTAACCGGTTTTGGTTCAGTCCAGTTAGGTTTTTCAAGATAAAAATAGATTTAAATTGGTTTGGTCTAGATTTTTTGTTTTAGCTCTGTTTTTTTAGTTTTTGATTATATATATATATATATTTTGTTTGGTTTTTCAGTTTAGATCAATTTTTTTATTTGGGTTTAGTTAAATTTGATTTTTTTCAGTTTTTTCTTATAAAATCAAATTAAATTGGGTGATATTTTTAAATTTTTAATTGCTTTTTTAAAAAATTAATGGTTTAAAATAACTTCATATATAGATAGATATTAAAGGGAAGAGAGTTAGAAAGGGAGTTGATATGTTTTCTTTTATTTTTTCTCATATGCAACTCTCATGGTATCTCCCAACTATAATATTAAAAATAAGATTTTCATTTAATTTGCGGATTAAAGAAAACTATATGTCGATTTTCCTCACTTGCAAAGAAAAGAGGACTCTTATTCTTCTAATTTTAAATTACTATAAAATAAAACTGGAACTGTATATATGTATATATATCTTGACAATTGCAATGATTCGTTTTTTTATTTATTTTGAAATTAGCTTTAGCTACGAAGTTGATATTTTAGCGAGAAGCTAGGATTAATTAATTTCCCAGGACGCCGGCTTTTGAAAAATACGTCTTTGACAAAATTCACAATCGAAAGACGTCTTTTGAAGACCCCACCCATTCGAGACTTCAACGCTTTCCTCTCCTATAAAAGGCCCCGTCAATGAAGCAACAACACTTCACCCATTTGGCTAGAGCACCAAACCCCAAAGACAACACCTCTCTAGCAAAAGAAGGCAGCAGCAAATGGCAGAAAACCACCCGCCTCATCTTGGTTTCAAAGGAGACAGGTTACTCTATATCGTCTTGCCATTATTTTTTTTTTCCCATCAAGTTCAGAGGGATTCAAATTAAATTTCCTTTTCCCTTTTTTTCACCGTCTTTAATTCTTGTGTTTGAATCATTTTAATTTTGTTATGATGACAGCATCGTGGCGCAGCATGCCATTTTTGCCCTGCTTGTGGACACGTTAAGCAACCAAATCCAAGTGAAATACCTGTCAATGCGAGTTTCTCCATTTGACACCCACCAGAGAGTCATGTCAACATTTTTAGCTGCTATGCTTATATACGCCACAACATCAGTTGCCGAGGTTATACTCCGGACGCAGAAATCAGTCCATCAAAGACTTGTCGGCAATATTCGCCTCTTTGCTAGCGCCCTTGCTACAATTCTGCTTCTGGTGACTCTTTCCCTGGTTGTGTCCTGCATCGTTTCCGTCTTGTGGGCCTGTTTATTTGTGAAGTTAGCATATGAATCATGTCAAGATCTGTGCCAGTTGCTAAGCCAAACAACTGATGAGGTACTGCGCTTGTTGAAAAAGCTAATTGCAATTGTGAGGAGCCCCAAAGAGAAACCAAACCAGTCGAATGTACAGGTCCTTCCAAGTCCCGAGGCAGATTAGGATAGTGTTAAATCATGGACTTGTTGCTCCTAGCTGTTTTTTGTAATTTAAGCAGTGATATTGTTTTTCTAACGCGCTAGAGAATTAGATAATTGAAGGATATGACACTCTTTTTATGGGCCTGTTCTTCTTTTTGTTTGTATGAGGAATGAGACTTGCAAAGTTATCTGAGCTAAGATTTATTTGGTGGTCGGCAAGCTCATGGAGGGGCTAAATAGGATGGAGTTTGTGCTTGGACCACCAGTTCAAGGCATTCCTCACCCATTATTTAAAAAAAATATTTGAATATTTAATAAAAGAGGAATAAGAAATCTCCATAAATGACAGATCTTCTAATTCTTACATAGTTTTGATTCCAAGAAGTGGAAAGTATATCTTTTTTTATTTCCCATTTCTATTCAAATGAGTACTTCAAAGTAGTGCAGCAAAAACTCTCTCTTTCTTGTATTAATGCTTCCTTCACTTTAGACTCTATTTTTCCAGTCAAGGAATTAGCCTCTTAAATTGTCCTTGATATTTGCGTACTTATCGATTTTAATTGTTGTTGTGATGACAGCATTATTATGCAATATGGAATATTTGCCCTCCTGGTTGGGACGCTAAACAACCAAATCCAGGTGAAGTACCAATCACTTAAAGGCTCTCCATTTGACAGTCACGACGTTATTATGTCAGTTTTCCTTGTTGCTCTGTTTATCTATGCCACGGCATCGGTGGCCGAAGTTATGCTCCGAGCTCGACAATCAACTTACTACACACTGGTTGGCAATCTCCGACTCTTCGCCAGTGCCCTTGCTGCGATATTGCTTCTAGCAATTCTTGCTCCAATTCTGGGGTGCGTTATTTCCGTCATATGGGCCTGTTTATTTACGGGAGTCGCATATGAATCAAGCCGAGAAGTGTCCAACATTTTAAGCCAGCTAACTAGTAAGTTACTTGACATGGTGACCAGGCTAATTGCACGCGCGAGTAGCCGCAAGGAGGATCTGAATCAGCCACGTGTCTAGGTCACCGCGTGTCCTTAGAATTTAGATTGAGTAATTGGCAGCGGAAAATACTTGTTTGGGACTATTTCTGGTTGTTCTCCTCCCCGCCCTCTCTGTTTTTTTTTTTTATTATTATTATTTTAAAGAAATATTTGTATGTTTGAAGAGGAAGATCTGAGAAGATGTTGATTACGAGGAATTTACCTGGCATGTAAAAAAATAAAATGAAATAAGATTTTTTGTTTTTTTTATTAAAGAGGACTGTCAGATTTATTTATTTTTTTTATCTCGACTTATGGTCAACACACTAACAAAAAGGTTTGTGTCTTCAAGCTTGGTTAGGGGTAAATACAGATTCGGTTAGCCAATTAGAAGTTAAAATATTCTTCACCCTGCATGGTACACGTCAGTACATTTAGTTACCCTTGCTAGTTTAGAGCCCGCACTTTCGGTGTGGGTTGCATCTAAATTTTCTGGAATATAAAAAAGTAATATTTAAATTATTAAAAGTATTTGTATTTATTATTAATCTCTGTAAAGCAATTTAAATTTGAAATCTCAATCTAAATATTTATTTATTTGAAATTTAATCATATAAAAAATATTCTAATATAACTTTAATCATTAGATAAATCTAAAAAAAAATATCATGTTCATCTTAATTAACCACAAAAACATTATAAACTCTACTAAATTGAATTGATTTTTATATTTTATAATATGATAAAAATATAAAAATTAATTTATAATTCATAATCAATTCATTACTAAATAATAAAATTTATTAAAAACTCAAAATTAAATAAAAAAATTAAAAAAATAAAAAAACTTATAACCTGAATTATAAAATATGTTGGATTTAAATATTTTTTTATAATATGATAAAAAATATAAAAATTTACTTATAATTATTTTAATATTAAATATTAAAATAAACTAGAAATATAATATTAAAAAATAAAATTTAAAAAAATAAAAAAAAATATACCAAATAAAAAAAAATTCTTGCATGAGCTAGGTCAGGCTTATTAAAAAATACCAGGCACATGGTTGAAGACAGATCCATGCGCCCCCTAAATTAAAAACCCGCGACCTCAACAATATTCTGCACATTAACCATTAAAAATATATTAACCTGATCCACTCTTCAAAAAGTAACCATTATAGTTTATTGACAGGTACTTCAAACTTGTATTATTTAATTAGTCTATATTGTTTTTTTTTTCTTTCTATTTTTTTATATTATTTAGAATTTTACATGGTGTTAAGGTAATATAAAGCAACATAATTAAGGTAATATAAAACAATATAATTAACCTATGTTTTAGGATTCATTTAAAAAAAATCCTAGTGCTCGGGAATCAATAATGTTTTAAAATAATAGTAGCAATATTGATAGTTTTATTAATAAGAGACTGGATAGAATTTAGTTATTAATTAGTATTGGAGAAATACTATAATGTTAATTCTACTGTTTTATTAATTGATTTCTTTATTTATTGATAGAATAATAATGGGGAAAATTGATAATTTTTTAGGATTTCAGTCTAAAAAAACTAATTTTATGGTTTAAAATCAGGAATGATTATTTTTTGTTTGGTTAAGTTTTAATAAAAAAATAATCAAGCTAATTTTTTTTTAAAATCAAAACCAGTTCAAACCGACTAGTTTTGGTTCGGCTTGATTTTTTAAGATAAAAACTGATTCAAACCGGTTTCTCTTGATTTTAGTTGAGTTTTTTATTTTTCGATTCGAGTTTAGTTCAGTTTTTTCTTATAAAATCGAATCAAATTGACCGAGTTTTTTTAAAATTGTAATTAGTTTAATTAAATTTTTTTTTTAATTTAGTTATTTCAATTATTTTTTTTAAATTTTCTCAGTTTAATTAATTGTTTGATTTTTTTACTGATCCCCCCACTTAAAATGACTTCATGTAAAGATATTAAAGAGAAGAGAGTTAAAAAGGGAGTTGATATGTTTTTCCTTTTAATTTTTCTCGTATGCAACTCTTATAGTATCTCCCAACTATAGTATTAAAAACAAGATTTTCATTTAATTTGCGGGTTAAGGAAAAATATATGTCGATTTTCCTCACTTGCAAAGAAAAAAGGACTCCTATTCTTCTAATTTTAAATTACTATAAAATAAAACTAGAATTATAGTTTTTGCTATAATTCGTCGAAGGCATTATAATTGTATTGCTTTTTATATTTAATATTAATGAGATGAATATATATATATACCGTGACAACTGTTGCCGTGATTCTTTTTTCTCCTTTGAAATTAGCTTTAGCTACGAAGTTGATATTTTGGCGAGAAGCTAGGATTAATTAATTTCCCAGGACGCCGGCTTTTGAAAAATACGTCTTTGACAAAATTGACAAAACGAAAGACGTCTTTTGAAGACCCCACCCATTCGAGACTTTAAAGTTCAACCCTTTTCCTCCCCTATAAAACGCCCCATCAATGAAGTATCGACACCTCACCCATTTGTCTAGAGCTCCTAACCCAAAAGACCACATCTCTCTAGCAAAAGAAGGCTGCAGGAAATGGCAGAAAACCACCCGCCTCGGCTTGGTTTCAAAGGAGACAGGTTACTCTCTATCCTCTTGCCTTTATATTTTTTTTTCCCGTCAAGTTCACAGGGATTCAAATTAAATTCCCTTTTTCCCTTTTTTTCACCGTCTTCAATTCTTGTGTTTAAGTAATTTTAATTTTGTTATGATGACAGCATCGTGGCGCAGCATGCCATTTTTGCCCTGCTTGTGGACACGTTAAGCAACCAAATCCAAGTGAAATACCTGTCAATGCGAGTTTCTCCATTTGACACCCACCAGGGGGTCATGTCAACATTTTTTGCTGCTCTGTTTATATACGCCACAACATCAGTTGCCGAGGTTATACTCCGGACGCAGAAATCAGTCCATCAAAGACTTGTCGGCAATATTCGCCTCTTTGCTAGCGCCCTTGCTACAATTCTGCTTCTGGTGACTCTTTCCCTGGTTGTGTCCTGCATCGTTTCCGTCTTGTGGGCCTGTTTATTTGTGAAGTTAGCATATGAATCATGTCAAGATCTGTGCCAGTTGCTAAGCCAAACAACTGATGAGGTACTGCGCTTGTTGAAAAAGCTAATTGCAATTGTGAGGAGCCCCAAAGAGAAACCAAACCAGTCGAATGTACAGGTCCTTCCAGAGCCGAATGTGCAGGTCCTTACAAGTCCAGAGGCAGATTAGGATAGTGTTAAATTATGGACTTGTTGCTCCTAGCCGCTTTTTGATATTTACGTTGTGATATTGTTTTTCTAACGCGCTAGAGAATTAGATTATTGAAGGATATTGCACTCTTTTTATGGGCCTTCTCTTCTTTTTGTTTGTATGAGGAACGAGACTTGCAAAGTTATCTGAGCTAGATTTATTTGGTGGTCGGCAAGCTCACGGAGGGGCTAAATAGGATGGAGTTTGTGCTTAGACCACCAGTTCAAGGCATTCCTCACCCATTATTCTTTAAAAAAATATTTGAATATTTAATAAAAGAGGGATAAGAAATCTCCATAAATAACAGATCTCCTTCTTACATGGTTTTGATTCCTAGCAGTGGAAAGTATATCTTTTTTTTTTTATTTCGCATTTCTATTCAAATGAGTACTTCAGAGTGATGTAGCAAAAACTTTTGTAAGACTATACTTTATGTTTTTTTTTTAATGAACTGACTTATTATTTTTGCAATGCTCTGTTAGAAGACTTCATCAGCCCGTGGTCAACCTGTTTTTAAAGTACAGGCTGTGCACCCATTTTGTGTAAAAACAAAAGAGGTTTTATGAATGATTGCAATTTTTTTTTTTTTCTGTAACTCAATCTACTATGAAAGAAAATGATAGGTTAAAATGCATCCTGAACAAAATGAAAACCGTATTTTGAGCTCCCCACCCAATCTTTTTTTTCTTTTAATTTTGTTAATCACCTATTTATATTTAGATAATAGTTATTGTATGATTGAAATCTCAGTTCATGGATTATCGGATCAATTACAAAATAATAATGTTTTAATTAGCTCAAATAGTATTATTTTGGATAAAAAAATTATTAAAACTATTTCAATCAAGATTTATTAGATTTAATTAGATTAATCAGATTATAAACAAGTACTGGTTTAATTT